TTTTTTAATTCACAATTTTGAATCTGTAATGATATTTTCTTTTCTCATTTACAGCAATATGAGATTTTTGATGATTGCTTTAGCATATGCCATACCACTTGGTGTATTTGCTGGCTGGTCTGGAGTTCTGGACTTAATTTTAACACCAGTGCATGTCAGTCAAGTAAGTATTTCATTTCTTTATATGTTGGAGATATTTTTTAGTACGTTTAAATTGTAAATATTGTCTGCGTGTTCTTGGTTTAAACTTCAAGGCCTGGGTAACCATTATCCAATACCATTGTTGCGAAAGCAAGATCCTAGGGAGCCCGGGTATCTAGTGAGGTAAGCGTCTGACTCTTGATCTTGGCTCAGGTCATGATCTCTCAATTCATGAGATCGAGCCCCATATTGGGCTCTGCACTGACAGCGTGGAGCCTGCTTGGAATTCTCTCTCTCCTTCTCTGTCTGTCCCTCCCTGGGTCATGTTCATTCTCTCTCTCTTTTTCAAAAATAAATAAACTTAAAAAAAAAATCCTTTGAAATAGTTAAAAATAATATTGATTTTCTTCCTGGGTTTTGTTAACAGCCATGAATTTTACATTTATTTGGCTATTATTAATGATGCTAATCAACAGAAAAATAAAGAAGGAAAATCTTCCTTTGTTGACTCCATCCTAATCTTGCTCCTTACTTTATAAAGAAGATTAAGACCCCATCATCAAATATATGGCTAACGTCGACATCTAATTTCTCACTTTCTCCCTAGTCTCAGAATAAGGGTACCTCATTTCTTTAAAAATAACCATGTACCGGGGCGCCTGGGTGGCGCAGTCGGTTAAGCGTCCAACTTCAGCCAGGTCACGATCTCATGGTCCGTGAGTTCGAGCCCCGCGTCAGGCTCTGGGCTGATGGCTGATGGCTCAGAGCCTGGAGCCTGTTTCCGATTCTGTGTCTCCCTCTCTCTCTGCCCCTCCCCCGTTCATGCTCTGTCTCTCTCTGTCCCAAAAATAAATAAACATTGAAAAAAAAATATTAAAAAAAAAATAACCATGTACCTATGATTATTTTTGACCTATATTTTTGACCTATATGATTCAGGCCATGTATTCCTTCTCCTTACTTCCAGACAGCATGGTAGAAAGGGGTAGAGAGATTTGGAGGGGCAAATGGAAGCAATCCAGCACGCTGGTGTGACTTTCTATTGTATGAATGAACAACAATTTTCCATTCTGCTTTTGATGAACATTTGGATTGTTTACAGTTTTTAACTGTCACAATCACAAACAATGCTGTATGAATGTTATCATACATGTTTCTTGATGCACCTCTATACACATTTCTGTCGGATATGTAGCTAGCAATAGAATTGTTGGTTATAGTATATTCCTGGTTTGGTAGATGATGCCAAACTTCCCCAGAGTGGTTGTATGAGTTTATAGTTTTACCAGCAGGATATGAAATTTCTCATTGCTCCACATCTTTACCAACACTTGACAATGTTAGTCTTTTTTTTTTTTTTTTTTTTTTAAATGTTTGTTCATTTTTGAGAGATAACATAAGTGGGGGAAGGGCAGAGAGAGAGAGGGACAGAGAATCCTAAGCGGGCTCTGTGCTGACAGCAGAGAACCCAATGCGGGGCTCAAACTCATGTGAGATCATGACCTGACCCAAAGTCTGACATTTAACCAAATAAGCCACCCAGGTGCCTGAGTCTCTAAAGTTAGAAATGCTGGGCACCTGGGTGGCTCAGTCACTTGAGCGTCTGACTTCGCCTCAGGTTGTGATCTCACAGTTTGTGGGTTCAAGCCCCACATTGGGCTCTGTGCTGACAGCTCGGAGCCTGGAGTCTGTTTCAGATTCTTGTACCACCCCCTCCCCCACACTTGTGCTCTGTGTCTCTCTCTTCCTCAAATATAAATAAACATTAAAATTTTTTTTTTTATTTTTTTAATGTTTGTTTATATTTGAGGGAGAGAGAGACAGAGTGCAAGCAGGGGAGGGGCAAAGAGAGAGGGAGACACAGAATATGAAGCAGGCTTCAGGCTCTGAGCCATCAGCACAGAGCCCGACGCAGAGCTCGAACTCAGGAACTGCAAGATCATGACCTGAGCTGAAGTTGGTCACTTAACTGACTGAGCCACCCAGGCGCCCCTAAAAAAAATTTTTTTAAGTTAGAAATGCTAATGGATATGCAGTTAAATGCCACTATAATGGGGCGCCTGGGTGGCTCAGTTGGTTAAGCATCTGACTTCGACTCAGGTCATGATCTCACGGTCCATGAGTTCAAGCCCCGCATCGGGCTCTGTGCTGACAGCTCAGAGCCTGGAGCCTGTTTCAGATTCTGTGTCTCCCTCTCTCTCTGGCCCTCCCCCATTCATGCTCTGTCTCTCTCTGTCTCAAAAATAAATAAACGTTTAAAAAAAAAATAAATGCCACTATAATGATATCTTTTTGTTTGATATTTGAATATCCTTTTTTGTGACACACCTGGTCAAGTCTCTTGCCCACCATTGGGCTGCCTTTTTCTTACTGATTGTAAAGAAGAGAGCTATGCAGGGCACCTGGGCGGCTCAGTCTATTAAGCATCCCACTCTTGATTTCAGCTCAGGTCATGATCTCATGGTCATGGGATCAAGCTATGTGCACATCAGGCTATGTGCTCATGGTGCGGAGCCTGCTTGCAAATTTCTCTCTCCCTCTCTCTATGCTCCTCCCATGCACACACTCTCTCCCTCTTTCTCAAAATAAATAAACTTTTTGTGAAAAAAAAAAAAGTACTAAAATATATTTTTAAAAAAGAGCTGTGCAGAAGGAAGCTCCCCAGAGCACTGTATGGGGTCCTCAGCACGTCTTAGACTGAGAAATGAACTGCACATGTAAACGGCAAAACTATTAGAGGCTTAACAGAAAGATTTCTATGAGGTTGAAAGCAGAACGAATACAGTAGAGGGTAAGCAGTGCTGGGCTCTTAGAGTTCTAGCTCAACCAGAATGGTAATACCTCATTAACACCTTTTTAATACCTTGGGCTTCTGCTAAGACACAGAATCTAGGCCAAAATTTAAAATCAAGAACCATGTTCTAGGTAAGATAAGGCCTATTCTACTTAGACCCACAATACCCAAGGCCTAAAAACAAGCCCTGACAAAAATCTGCAGAGGAGACAATTTGGAGACTGAATCCTACCAAGTGAGGGGGTCTTGAGAAACATTTAGGTTTCTACTTATCTTCCTTAATAAAACACAAAATCAAGCCAACAGAAGTTCAAGGTGATCAGTTATTAATTGAACTGCCTACTAACACAAAAATCAACCATTTTAGAGAAAGATAAAAGGATCCAGAACCTTTATATTGTGTCATCCACAGCATGTACCACACTGTTAAAAAAAAATTAGACGGGGCGCCTGGGTGGCTCGGTCGGTTAAGCTTTGGCTCAAGTCATGATCTCACGGTTTGTGGGTTCAAGCCCCACGTCGGGCTCTGTGCTGACAGCTCAGAGCCTGGAGCCTGCTTCAGATTCTATGTCTCCGTCTCTTTCTGCCCCTCCCCTGCTCATGCTCTGTCTCTCTCTCTCTCTCTCTCTCTCTCTCTCAAAAATAAACATTAAAAAAATTTTTTTAAATAAAAAAAAAAATTAGAAAATTGTGGCCCATATTTACAAAAAGGAAGTATTGAATAGAAACCAACTCAAAGATAGCCTACATGTTGGACATAACAGAGACCATAATGCAAAAGAGTGAGAAAGAAAGAAAGAAATCTTTGCTTGCTCAAAGTTGATGAGCATATTCCCCTATGTTAACCTGTGGCACTGTGTTGTCTGGTGCAGTAGCCACTAGCCAATCATAGCTATTTAATTTGGAATTTAAATTAGTTGGGATGAAATAAAGATAAAAATTCACTTCCTCAATGGCCACCTTCTGGCTACCTTTCAGGTGCTCAGTAGCCACTTGTGACTTGTGGCTGCCATATTTTGGACAGTGCAGATACAGAACATATCTGTCATCATAGAAAACACTGTCAGTGCTGTTCTAGAAGTTTTATCATTAGTCCTGTCACATTTAAACCTAGAATTGAATTGTGTGCTCATTATAAGGTAGGTGTTAAGTTTCTTTTTTTTTTCCCCATATAGGTATGCATTAACCTGGTATCAGTTTTTGAAAAGATTATGCTTTTCTTATTGTACTCTAGTGTCAACTTTGTCTTAATGAAGTGCCCTTATGTGCACAGATGTGTTTCTAAACTGTTTTTTCCCTTATAGTCTATTTTGCCTGTCTTTGTGCCAATACCAAAGTGTCTCAAGTGTTTTAGTGTTATAATAAGTTTTCGTATTTCATAGAATAAATATGCCCCTTTATTGGGATTTTGACTAGAATTTTTTGAATCTAGAAGATCACTTTGAAAATTAAGGTCTTTGTAATACTGAGCCCTCTGAACCATGTTCATTGTATTTCTGTACATTTACTAAAGTCCTAATGTCTCTGAATGATGCTTTATAATTTTCTGCAAAGAACTCTTCTATGTATTTGTTAGATTCAGTCCCAGGTATACGATATTTTCTGAGGCTATTGTAACTGGTATCTTTAAAATTTTTTCTTTTCTGGGGCACCTGGCTGGCTCAGTCAGTAAAGCATGTGACTCTTGGTCTTGGGGTTGTGAGTGTAAGCCCCACGATGGGCTTACTTAAAATTTTATTTTCTGTTGGGTGGCATATAGAAGTATAGTTGACTTTTGCAAGGAATTGAAATATACCTGATCTTGTATCCAGCAGCCTTGTTAAACTCACTTACTTGTTTTAGTAATTCACCAACAGATACATTGGCCTCTTTACATATCAGTTGTGACTAATGACAAGTAGATGGAGAAAAGTACATTTAAAAAAATTTAACACTTGAGATAATCATATGATTTGTCTCTTTTAAATTTCTAATGTGGCAAATTACATTTACTGATTATTAAATGTTAACCCACCTTGCATTCCTGTACCAAATCCTATTGTCAGTGACTTGTTACATTTTTTATATATCACTGGACTCATATGTTCATGTTTTACTTAAGACTGTTTACATTTATGCTCATGAATGAGATTGGACTATAATTTTCTTTTCTTTTTCTGTCCTTTAAGTTTTGGTATCAGGTTTTTACCAGTCTCAAAAACAAATAAGGAGGCATTTTTTTCCCCTCT